AGAATCGCCATCGATCTTTATTTATTCCCATAGAGGGAAAGGGAAAATGTCGAATAAAACCCTTAAAAGAAAGGATAAAATATGGTCATCGCAACCAATATCAGGGTTCGGGAGTCGGTTACGCAAGGGGAAGGTATTAGCACCCCTCACGTCTGTCGTACTAAACGGGAACCATTTAGTTAGGGTTGAATGTATGTTAGTTTATGTTACTTTCTAATCTTCTACTTATTGAGGATGGAAAAGGGAGAGAAGAGAAATGTTTTTTTATTAAAGAGAAAGGAGATCTAAGGGTTTTTATTACTAGGGGGCTCAACAAGACTTTGCAGTCTCATGCCTACATATCATCATGGTGCAATGAGAAACTCAGAGCCTTTGTAGTTCGGGGATTACGATGAAAAAAAGAAAAGGTTGTTCGCCAAGGATTATGGCGAAAAAAGAAAAGGTTGCTCGCCAAGGATTAGGGCCTTTGTGCCTACGTATACTCATTGTGAAATGAGAAATCAAAGCGTTCGTAGTTTTGGGTAAAAGAGTTTTGTTTGTTAGTCGATTTTAGCGAAAGATAGTTAGTCGCATTCGACAGAAAACATTGTCTTACCCAAAACAAGTGAGGAGCGAACGTTTGCATCACAACAGAATGGATTTACAAATCAGCATTCGCGGGAAACACCTCTTATATCAACTCAAATAGTTTATGGACGAAGCAATGTTTTGCGTCGTCTCAAGACACAATATCTCTCGTTTATGAAAACGTTTTTAAGATCGCACGGAGGCGAGAAAAAATAGTTTGATTGGTTGGATGTATTTTAGGTGAATGACAGACATTTGATGAGAATCAATCGTTCAAATAGTTACGCTAGAATGCTAGATTTCAACGGCCCTTTTTCATTCAAGTTATAATGAAAATTGTTTGATGGACAACGAACGCTTGATAATAATCAGCTATTCAAAGATTTATGCCAAGATGCTAGATTGTAACGATCCTTATTTGTCACAGTTAATTATTAATATTTTAAGGACGAAAGAAAAGAACGAACGATTACCCCAATGTGCAAGACTCTGAACCGATCATTCGATGGTTCTACTAGAATGCTAGATTCTAACCGTCCTCTTCTTTCGAATTTATTAAGAAAAGAGTTTAAAAAAAAGATTTGAATGTATCGAATTTATATAATCAAGTTTTAAAATGTCGGCGGTTTTCTAAAAAAATGTTATTTTAAATCACTTTATCAATTAATATTTAATTATAAAGATGATAAAAAAACACACGGTTAGGGAGATGATCAATTGGAATAAAAAAATGCATGATTTATTAGAGTAACAAATAAACAAATGAATAAAATTGGTTAACTTAGGATAATTAAGAGATAATTATCATGATTTATTTGATCACACAAGCTAATCCAATCATTAATTTTAATTATCAAATTTAAACCACTAAAATAAAACTAATTAATTAATAAAAACCAAAAAGAGGTGCATAAAAACAGTCTTGAGGCCTAAAGCCCAATCCCATAAGACCAAACTCTCACACACAAAAAAAAACTAAATCTAATTTTATATTAAAAACAACTCTACTAATAAAAATCACAAAAACATGAAGTAACATCTTGTTTTAACAAAGGTCATTTCTTTTACAATACATAACGATGAGAAGGAAATAACTCGGTCAAACTTTTTCAAATGGAGGACTTTTATTCACCGTGAACACTAACAAATCCTCATCTCTCACAAAGTTCTCAAAGCCAAGAAACTTGATGTTCAATAATCTAAACACCACTTTAATAGTTATGTAACCAAGTAATAAAAAGAGAGTGAATAGAAAACTACCGGACGAAGTCTTTTGGCGGCCGGAAGGAGGATGTGCTCAGTGGCGGTATACGTCGTGAAGGAGCAACAGTGGTTTTGCTGGACGCGTGGTCGGAGTTATCGTGTTTCTGACAACGTGCTTTTTCGACAACGAGAGATATTATGTCTTGAGACGACGCAAAACATTGCTTCGTCCATAAAACTATTTGAGTTGAGATAAGAGGTGTTTCCCGCGAACGTTGATTTATAAATCCATTCTGTTATGATGCAAACTTTCCCTCCTCACTTGTTTTGGGTAAGACAATGTTTTCTGTTGAATGCGACTGAATATCTTTCGCTAAAATTATGAACAGTGTGGTTTTTCCGACAGCGGAGGTGAGTGTTTTTCTTCGGATTCAAAGATGAGGTGGTGGTGAAAATTATGTTGTGAGGAAGAAGACTTGAGTGGTTTGAAGGAGGAGATTTTCTATTTATGTAAAAGATGTTAGTGATGATGTTGTTGAAGAAATAATGAAGATGAGAGATCGTGAGTGATGTTTGTGTTACAAGAGTGGTTTCTTGTGTGTTTGAGTTTGGAATGTGAGAGGTTATTATTCTTGTTGTGTAGTGTGAGTTGCATGAAGAAGGAAAATACAAGATGAGTTAGTGAAGATGCTCATGGTGGGTAATAAATGGAAGTGAAGGAGAGTTAGCATGATGGTTTTAAATGTGTGAATGAGTGTTGGTTTTGTGAGTTGCAGGAAGAAAAAAAAATGAAGGAGAAGGGAGGGTATTGTTGCGTCTTGTAGGAAGAAGAGGAAAAATCAATCTCTTTTTTATTCTCGTTCCTTTTTTAATGAGATGATGTCTTGAGAGTGAGAAGGATAAGATCCTTTTGCTGTGTTTTTTTTTTCACTTTTTAAAAATTAATAAGAGAGAGAGAGAACACATTTTTGGGAAAGAGAGAAATATAATGAAGTTAGTATCAAAAATCAAGATGGCAATGTTATGTGTTTGATAAAGACCAAGAACTTAGTCTCCAACCACCTTTTTTATTCTCCTTTTTATTATTCAAACTCTTCTTTTCTTTTTGGTGTAAAACGTGAACCAATGGGCAATGGACACCCCCTGTCCTAATGCAATGTAATGTCATAATCAAGGTTTCTAAAATGAAGTTCAAAACAAATATTTTTTTCAAAAATTAATCATTAAGTCTTACCAAAAACAAAATAATAAATATTTTAAAGAAATTGGATAATTAAAATAAATTAATTACTAATTAAATTTTAAAATAAAATTAAAAGGATTAATTGATTAAATAAAAATAAAAATGATTAAAAACGGGATAAACAATCTAGTATCGAAGTGGTTGAAAAAATAAAATAAATACACCATAATGATTAGCACGAAAACTCGAAAAAATACAGCGTTTGGCCAAATTTCGGAATAAATCTGGACGGGTTAAAATGCTTAGACTGATCAAAACATGGTCGGAAAGTCATCAAAAATTAAAACGAGCACGCTAGGTTAAACTACGCGAAATGTAGATTAATGTAACTGATGACTGCAAGTTCAATTTTGAAACTTTCCGTCCGCTGATTTTACACACAGTTGACTTTTAGTTTGACCGATTCACTTGTAAATCCAACGGTTTATTTTGGCTGACAATTTGATTATTATGCAAAATAAAAATGACATACTATGCAGATGATGCAAATGCTATGATAACATGACGATTCAAAAATTCAGGTTCAAAATTGGAATATGATAGACAGTGACATGTGTTTCGATTTATTTGAATTTTTATTCAAATATATATTTATGTGATTAGACATGTTTTGTATGTAATGTTGTATTAATATTAATAATGTCAAATGTATATATTTTTCATAGATGTTAATGTATGTTTTGGTTTCTAAAAAATCTCACATTTCCTTATTCTAAAACATGTTCAGTATAAACAGGGTGTATTCACGATGAATAAAGTTTCTAAGGTCTATATTGGCCTAAAACTTGTATAGATATGGTGATCTCGTTTCATATTTTTAACAAAAACACATTACACCACAATGAGTATATATTTACATGTCGGATTTGTCAACTTCAAAGACGCGAAGGTCTCACTTGAATTAAAGGTCATTGAGTACACCTGAGTACACCTCTCTTGTAGATATGAAATCTATACTGGAGAATCTCTTAGAAAACTTAGACAATTAAAAAATTGTGAAGTTCAAATACCATGCACTCTTGATTGACATCGAAGGAAAGATTGAGTTCAGCAAGTTTGAGTTAAAGAAGGATGATGATTTAAGGGCGGAATACATTTCACTGTTAAAAAACAAAATATTTGATCGAGTTAGATGCGAAGATTGCAAGATCCACAAAAGATATCTTGAAGAAGTTGAAACGTCATACTTGATGATGAAATGTATTGTTTGATTTATCTTTAACAATTATTTATGTAATGTTTTGTTTTTTTATGTACGTCATAACAGTTATCGATATTAATTTATCTTCATTTCTGCATCTATTTTGTTTCTGCATCTCTTTAGAATCAGGAAATACATCCCGTAAGGTATACGGAAATGTATTTCTGAATTATATTTTGTCATAAAATTAGAGTGTGACTCAATAACGAATGGATTATGTGTAAAGATGTATTATTTCGGAATTCTATATGTAGTTTTGTTTTTTCACAAAGATGATGAAGCAATGCTTAAGTTGAAATAATCAATTTTTTGTGATAAGTACATAATACAACTTTTGGCCGAGATTACTATGTATTACGCCAAACTTTAGTGTAGGCCATAAAATTATGTTGAATAAAATATTTTTGTTTGATTTTCATTTTCTGTGGAGTTTTAGATGCAAATATACCACCTGGTTTCTCAAACATCGTCTGAAGGTTGTTCTTATTCTAAATGCATATTTATATATTGGCATTAGTTTTCTTATATAACACGTTATATTTTCTTGTAGAATATTACGACATTGGTGATCCATTAATTAAGTGTCGTTATTGTAAAGCCATGATGTGGTATCAAGAGAGAATGAACAAAAGTTCTCATTCAACCAATCCCAAATTTTTATTGTGTTGTGGAAACGGAAAGGTCGAACTGCCATTACTCAAACAACCCCTTCCTTTACTAGCACATCTCCTTTTTGATGGGGATATAGTTAGCAGAAAGTTTCAACAATAGATTCACATTTACAACATGATGTTTGCCTTCACATCACCAGGTGCAAAGTTGGATAACCATTTTAACAATGGGGGTGGACCACCCACTTTACGAATTCAAGGTCAATCATGTCATCGTATTGGAAGTTTGCTTCCACCAGAAGGTCAACCACCTAAATTTGCACAACTATATATTTTTGACACGGACAATGAGGTCCATAATAGAATGCAGGGATTGAGGTATAACTATTTGACATACATTACTTTCTTACCATTAATTATACACTTCATGTGTTGAAATTTATTCCTTACATACTACTCTGTATTATATTTGACATAATAAAACATTTACATTTACAGGAACACAAAAAACATTGATCCGGTAATTGTACAAAAGTTGTCAGATATGCTCTACGAGCATAACCCTTATGCCAAAAGTTTTCAAATGGCCAAACATTGTTTATTGATTTCAAATACACAAAACCTGAAATTAAGACTCATTTCTAATAGATCCACAGATGGAAGAGTATATAATCAACCAACTGTTTCTGAGGTTGTTGCTTTTATAGTTGGTGATCTTGATACAACAGAAATGAGGGATATCATCATGCAAACTAAAGGTGGAGAGTTACAAAGAATTAACGAGCTTCATGCATGTTACTTGGCATATCAATATCCTTTAATTTTCCCTTATGGAGAAGATGGTTATAGACCAAACATAGCTCATCGAGACTTAGACATATTCTAAGACAACAAGAGAAATAGACTTACAATTAGAGAGTGGCTAGCATTTAGCATTCAAAACAGATCATGTGAGGCTAAAACTTTGTTGGCTTCAAGAAGGCTTTTTCAACAATTCTTAGTTGATGGTTACACAATGTTAGAGTCCGAAAGACTTCAATGGATTCGTCAAAATCAACCTAAATTAAGGGTATCAAAATACAACAGTCTTACTAAAATGGGTGACCAAAGTGAAACATGTGGTTCTACAACAGGAAAAAGAGTGGTTTTGCCTTCTACTTATGTTGGTGGAAGGAGGTTTATGGATCAATTGTACTATGATGGAATGGCTATTTGTAGCAAGGTGGGGTTTCCTGATTTATTTTTAACATTCACTTGCAATCCAAATTGGCCTGTGTCATACCCCAAATTTTGACCCCTTAGATCTTCATCATCATTTTAGGAGCATGTTCACATGTTTATCTAACCTTAGCCTTTTTCAAGTGGTCTTTGTCAACTTACAGGAGGATCAGGGTTTTGTACAGCCGAAATCGAGATTTCGAGAGTTGACCAGTCAATGTTTTGGATTGGTTCTCTTTGAGATTGGGTCTCCACATCATCAAGAATATTCTATTGGATCAAGCATGAATCCAATTTGAGGTTGTTACTCAGGAATCAAAAGCAGTGAAGTTCAGGATACCCGATTAGGGTTTTCAAGCAAGAAAAGTCAACTGTTGTTTGACTTTTGATCTAAAAGGTGTTGCAATAATAGGATCATGGTCCATAATGTTCATATGGCTTGGTAAAGTCCATTCAATAAGTTTCAAAGTCTCAAAAGGTCCAAAGCATCAATAGTCGACTCGGTAGCCACCGATCGATCGTTCGGTTGACTGAAAAGTCAACTCTTCATTCATAAGGAATCTGACATCAAGATGTGAATCAAAATGTTCCTTATGTCATATTACACTTGCCCATAAAATTTCATGACCATTGGATCAAGGATGGAGAAGTAATCGGAAAAGTCGGGAATTAGGGTTTTGAAAGGGGCTAAACCCTAACTCCCTAACCACACACCCAAATGAGTTGGTTCCAAGCTTGTTGGAAAGGTCTTGATAAGTCCTACAAAAGTCCCACAATCAAAAAATGCATAGAATTGGAGTTATGACCAAGATCATTTTTCAAGGGTAAAACACTTGGTGAAATTTTGGAAATTATGGCTGCATAAAACACTTGTTTCAGCCAACTTGAGAGGGTTTTTCAACCTAGCTACACATAGAATCTGAGGATCTTATGAACATAAATGTTTTAGAGCTACATGAGGGCTTTCCAAAATGTAGTAGAACTCCTCCATAGCCCTTATGAGCTGAGAGTTATGAATTCAACAAGATGGTGTTTTAACACTTGAGTCCCACATTGACAATTTTTCACAAACTCATCTTTTGACCACTTGAGCCATTCTCAGCCTTTGAATCTTGTTGTTTATGATATTTAGATTTTTTGAAGTGTAGAATTATGAAAGAAATGCAGAGGAAGTGAAAATTGGAAGCTATGCAAGTGGCTTGCAAGTTGCAAATGCAACTTGCATTAAAAAATTCAAGCAATACAAAAGGTGAAAAAGTGAAAATCAGCAGCAACCATGCCCCTACCATCCTAGCCTCACTTCAGCCACCTCGAAGTCCATCATTACACTTGACTTCAGATTACCTCAAAGCCAAGAAACACCTTTTGAAGGATTTGCATCCAATTTTCCACTTTTCCCTCTTAGGAAGGAAACCTTCCAAATCTGTCCTCACCCTTACTTTCCATATAAATAGAGAACTCCTCTACCTCATTCCACACACCAGAGCCCTTCTAAAAACCAGAGAAATCATAGCTCTCTCCCTTTCCTTCTTCACTTCATTTCAAAATCTCAAAATCATCAAAAACACCAAAATTTGTCTTGGACAATTCAGCCACCAAACTCATTTTCATACACTCTAAACCTCCAAAAACCATCTACGCAATCCAAAAATGTTGTGTAAAAGGTGTTCAAGCCTTTGAACCACTCAAAATCATCATTTCCCAAAAAGTCAACTTTCAACCAAAGAAAGTTTAACTTCACATACAAAATCACACAAATCTTTCCTCAGACCTGTTTTAACCTTTCCAACCATCCACACACCTTGAATATATGTTGTACAAACTTTCCTTAGCTTAAAGGAACCTCATCCTCATTTATTTTGAGGTTTGGCACAAATTCATCATATTTCACTCAAGAGCAAAGGGGCTGTTTTCATCAAGGCAGTGTTTGGACCAGCAGTTGTATTTGCTCAAGGTTTTCTTTATTGCACAAGCTCATTTGGAAGTCTACAAGAGGTATGTGATGCCAATCCTCCATCTTATACATTACATTGCCATGTTTTGCAAGTTTAAGGCTATGTCTTGAACGGTTGCTCATGCTGTCCCCAAACTGCTCTTGTCAAAAGTTCATTGCAATATTGTTATTTTTGCTGAGATACAGTGGTTATGAGTAATGTGTTGATGATAGTTTGTGCCTTATATGGTGTTCCAACTGATCATGAATAAAATGACCATGAGAATAACATTAAGAGTTTTGACATAAACTTGGTTGTTGATTTGCAACTGTTTTGCTATTGTTTTAGACTTGCCATTCCTTACTTGCTTCAAGTGTTTGCTACTGATTTTCACTCATCATGAATCTGGCTTGCATTCAAAATCATGAACCACATTGCATTTTTATAATTGCAACAATATGCAAGTTTCTGTTTTAAGGAAAATGTACTTGAATTTTGAGCCTAAAACCAATTGTTATTGCATATATGATATGTAACCATCATTGTTGTAACATAAGTTTCATCATTTTGAAAAAGGACACCTTGCTGCATCACTTTGTATCAAACTATTTTGCATTTCATGCCACCAATATGTCAAACTTTGTATGGATTGAAATATGCTTGGTTCTTGGGATTGATCACATCTACCTTCATGTTTATGATGTGTATGTATGATTGGTATGACTTGTTTTCACTTGTTTTTGTTTCTCACTTCCAAAGTGCATCATATGCATCGAATGTGCCATCACTATGTCTCTTTCTATTTTGAAAGTAGTGAGTCTGTATTTTTGGCATAGAATCATCATTTAACATGTTTGAAATATGTGTGCATCATTGGTATACCATAAATGTCACTCAACTTGAATTTTTCCAACTTGCATCATCAATTTTGCCAAAAAACTGTCTTGCATATCATTCAACTTTTGCCAAATTTTGCCATGATTGCAATATGCCTGATTTCTGAGTTGGACCACACTCATTTTTATGTTCATGATATGTGTGTATGAATGGTATGGTTGGTTTCTACATGATTTGATGTCTCACTTTCAAAATGCCTTTTTCAAGCTAAATGTGCCATCACTGTATCAGCTTCTGTTTTGATAGGAGTAGGCCTGAGTTTCTAGCATAAGACCATCATTTAGCCCATTTATGGTATGTGTGCATCATTAGTTTCATGTGAATTGCATCATTTTGAAAAACATACTTGCTTTACCATCTTTTTGCCAAAGTTGTGTTGCATTTCCATCAACATGCCAAGTTCTGCTATGCTTGAAATGTATCTATTTTGTAAGTTCAATCACACTTAGAATCATGCTTATGATGTGTATATATGATTTGTATGAACTGTTTCTACCTGTTTTGGTTTTTCACATTCAAAATGCCTCATTTTGCATATCATAGCCATGATCATACCAGTTTTTGTTTCAAGCCAAAAGTGTTTAAATTTTGAATTCAAAATCATCCATTTACATGTTTATGATGTGTATGTATGAGTTGCATGACCTGTTTTCACATGATTTGATCTTTCTCATTCAAAATGCATTTTTTCAAGCCAAAGATGCCATCACCACACCAGATTCTGTTGCTAGCCAAATGTGATAAAAGTTTGAATTAAAATCATCTATTTTTATGATTGTAGTGTATGTGTGTATTGTGTACATAGCTTGATCTTGCTGATTTCACTTTTTCATTACCTTGTTGCATCATCATGTTGCATCGTGCCCTTCAAACACACAACTGCATCACACACTATTTTGCTGGAAGTTACTTTGCTTGATCCATGAATATGAACATCAACGTGATTAGAGTTTCTAGGCTGTGTATTGTATGTATGAATTGAATGTCTCCCATCTGCACATTTGACAACTGCATCACACACACACTCATACCATATTTGCAAGCATCATACCAGTTCTGGTTTTATTGGATTTGTGCTCAAGTTTGAATTGTGGAAACATCATTTAGTTGATTTATGACTTATGTGTGAGGTATGTTTGATCTGAGTATGCTCAGAATTTGCTTTGAACTTCATGTTGCCTTTCAATATGTCAAATTGCAATTGAGGAACCATTTTCGTTACAGCCTGTTTTGAAACTAATCCATGTGCTTAAAATTATTTGTTGACAAGTTTGTGGTTTGTGTGTAGTACTTGTTTGGTTTGAATGTGCTCATAACATGTCATGAATCTCATATTGCATTTCAAAATATCAATTTGCAACTACCATCGTGTTTTGATTTGAGGATATTATTTCATGAATTCAACACCACCACCGCATTCCTTGTTAAATTTCACTCAAGATTGACTAAAATTTCACTAAATTCCATGGAGTTTTGACTGAGTTATGGACCTTCACGCATTTGCCATTTTCATTTGTTTTGCTTTGGGCTCAGAAATACATGTATACATGCCATATATATTTATGGGGGTGGCTAAATACCCAGATGTATAGCCACCCTAGTGGTAGAGACCTTGCCTGTAAACACGCCTTTCACACACATGACCTGGGTTCGATCCCTGAGGAGGATCAACCCTTTTATTCTTTTTTTCATTTTTCATGCGCATGCCTGTTCAAGCCAGAGGGCGTGGGTTCAACTCCCACCCCTTGCACCTTTTTTATTTTATTTTTGATTGTTGTGTTTTATTTGTACATTTTTCACATGGAACTTTAAAAAATCATAACTTTCTCATTTTTCA